GCCCTTCAGTTCAAGACTGAACTACTGGCTCGGCTCCCCTCCCCAAAAAGCGACCTGGGGTAGTTGTTAAACACGTTCCAGATGGTGCACGGTGCGTCTTTAAACTCCTTTTTCTCATTTCCATTCTTATACTTTTTCTCTATTCTTCCTTTCTTTTTTGATCACTTAAGGGGCCAAGTCTAGCTATTTGCTTGTTAATCAATTGGTTTTTGAGTTGCCTGACTTCGATATGCGATCGTCCCAGAAATAGAAATAATGAGGGATAAATTTTGATGCAAAAAAGCTACTCCTCCGAAATTTGAGGTTTTGTGGGCATTAGCGGTCTTTCGCGGGCGATGCCAAATTTTTCACGAGTGGGCACTTAGACTTGTCCCTCTCATAGGTATGCCACTTGGACGACATGCGACACCGTGGGATGCGAAGATCCCTGTGGCCCGAGGCGCGCTGCATGTCCTTCAAGATGTAAATCTTCACTAATGACGTTGTTCCTTTTTCGATCCCCTGCCCCAGCTCTAATCGTCGCACCTCTGACGTAAGGGCGTATCTAAATTCCTACATGAGCCCCGGAATCATAGAGTTACACAGAGAACAGAACATACGAGCAAATCGAGATACGCTCTTACGTCAGAGGAGCGACGTAATGCTCCGAGTTCAGGCTGCTGGTTGCCGAATTGGAAATTTTTAGCTCGCCAGAAACCTCGTCTAGAGCCAGCATTGTGATTTTATTTACCTAGAGAGGCCTTGGTGACACCCTGAAGCTAAGGGAGAACCCTAAAAAAATTAAAGGAATTTCGAGCCTTTCGTGAAGACATTTTTTTTTATCATATTTAGTTCTTTCCGTCCTTTTGTGTGATCCAAATTAAGTGAAAAATCAAAGGTAAAAAATTCGCTTCATCCCTCATGGTCTCAAGACAGCATTGATCTTTCTTCATTTTTTTTACATTTAATATTCGAGGTGCATCAAGTTAACATGATTTTAACTTAAAGTTATATGCATTGTAGTCGCTACCTCATAAAGACGATTGAAGCAAGTGGCTTATCGGAACGACCCAAGACAAAAAATAGAAATTATATACAAAAATACAAACTGGCGATAACTTTAAAAATTTACGCAAAGAGAATAAGGCTTTCAAAATTGCGATTTTGATAATGAACGGACGACTCCTACCAGTGGGTTCAATCAAAGCTCATGGAGCAGTAGCATTGGGTGATTTCCAAATAGATGCGTGCTATGCGGCACGATTGTTGCCTATCCAATGAAATTGAAGGCGAACTTCAAATGGACGATGTAAACCTCTGCTAGTTACAGCATCGTTTATCCATCTTAGCGTAAAAAGCAATAAAAATGTGACGTTCGAGTAGACATTCAATTTGGGCTCACAGGTAAAGATTCGTTGACTTCGCGCTGATATTGAAGCCCACTTTCAATTGGACGAAATCCACTAACAGAATTGAACATCAGTGCAGTGGGATAACTGTGCGATTACGAATGGCTTACTACTTTTTTATTTGTGATAAATAGCTCAAGAAGGAATTTCACTTTTTGTTCATTAAAACATTAAAATTGGAACTCAGGGCTCCCCTAATACTATTTCATATCAAAAATTAAAAATGAACGGCAATTAAATGCCAGCTGCCAAGCGCGAGATAAAATCAAATCCAGCACCTCCTCTCATCTAATCACTTATCAAAGCTAGTTAGTTTCGAAAAAATATTAAGACAGTATGGCAACACTGCAACGTGGCATCTCTCTTGTCGGCGACTCTGGGTCAACGTCATAGTGGGACCGGTGACGAGAGTAACGAGCCATACAACTGTGAATGTTGGACAAACTCAACGCTGCAGATTAATCTGGTACCCGAGCCGGGTCCCAATTCTGATTTTCAACCAGCTCAAAAGACCAAACGACGCTACAGATCAGTCAGATCACCCCATGTCTGAGCTGGATCCACGATAATTGTGTGTGCGATTCGATACTCGATCCAGTAATCGATACAGAGACATACGGACACGGGCGGAACGGGGAGGGGTAGGCCCCCCCCCCACCTCACCGTCAGAGGCGTGAATGATTGATTATCGATATATTCCTATTTGAAGCTATAGCACAGAATCGATTAAGGTGTTCATTGTGAAAACCCTAAGTATCGATCATTGTATCCATATGTTTAAACGGTTAGATCAATCGATCTATCGAAAAGTATGCCACCCCACTGGAGTAAACCTATTGATTTTTTATCGAAATACTGTGGGGTACGGAAGAACCCCGTGGGCCGTGCTAGGGAAGAACGCCGTATGAGCATTCGAGAGTTGCTAAATTTTCCTTGATAACACATGTATTTTTTACGACATTCGTGCACATTTTTCTTTGAAATTTTCTAATATTTTAGATTAAACTGCGTACAAAATTGACTGAAAATTTTGGAAAAAGATAATTACAATTTTTCCAGTAAATTCGGTTTTTATGGAAGGAAACTTGGCAACGTCTGAAGGCTCATACGGCGTTGTTCCTTAGCACGGCGGTACAGAACGATGTTACCTAACTGACAATTTTGACGGAAATGAGTTAGCGATTTTGATGCATTCTCCACTATAAAACACACGAGCTGATGTTTTTAGTTTTTTCCAATTTTGCATTAAAGTGCAGTAATGACGCTGTAATGTATTAAAAAAATTTAAACCCAAACTCAACATTACAAAAATGGCAAAATTGTATCTCCTCCCGGCAAAATCGCCAGTTTGCAGGTATGCGGTATTGTTTCTCAGGCGCCAAATACGAAATAATATTGCGACAGCGCAGTTATTGAACGCTATCAATCCAAATGTGCTCCTCGAAACACTTTCCGATCATCATGAATGAAGTTTTCAGGTAATATCATCATTATCATACCTCATCAGTCGCTTTAGAGTTCAGACGACAAACCGCGCGTATTACCATTACCCAGTTGCGTGCTGAAACTGAGCACTACAGAAATAAAAGCGCCTTCAAGTTCAACAATATGCAACAGGGATAACCGTAGAGAAGTATGAGTAATACTAATAATTAACATCAAAATAGTGGCCACTGCGCTGGATCCTTTGAATCGCATTTAGCAGAAGGAAACTCTGCGATAACAGTGTTGTAAAAATCGTGCATCTTCATCTTTATTTCTAAAAGTAAACCGAGCGTAGGAAATACTTTTAGTTTCTCTATCAAAAAAGGGTTATTTTTAAATGCAAACGATCGCGCAAAATTTCTGCAAGTACATGTTTCGCATTTTTTAAATTAAATAAAAGAAACACAATTTTGATGACACTGTATAATCGCATCGGTTCCCTGCTGTTAAGTGTGACCCATTCAGCGCCCACCCCCCTCCCTCCAAAAAATATGTAAACATTTCAAACCTTTGATAAAAATTCAAAGTTCAAGTGTGAAAACGGAGAAGTTGAGAAAAAGGCCGTTATAAGGTTCGCTGGTACTGTACGTTGCAGGCATGGTATAAAAATTGTTTTTAACGCTAAGGCACAATATCATTACTGATGAAAATAGCTTAAAATTTTGTCTCGATGTTTTTCAGAACATAAGAAAATGTTTAGCATCAAAAACTAAAAGCCTGTTTTGTTTTACCATATTATATGGTTTTTCCACTGCCCTGCAAGAACAATTGGGTCGAATTTACACCATAAAAGCTTTAAGTCACTTCAAGTTCGAACCGAGAAAAACAGGTTTGGAATTTTATCCTTTCACGAAAATCAATGTTGGGGCCAAAATTTTTACGACAATTTTCACGTTAATAATATTTTTTCCTTGACTTTTTCTTTTCAAAATGGATACGTTTCCGTTAAACTCGGTCGAATTTGAATTTCCTCTTTAAGACTCATTTGGCCTGACTCCATATCGTACACAGTAACACATTGTGAAAATACCATACCCAAGTACCACAGGTTGTAATAAAGTGCAATAATTACATAGTAAAACGATTGCTGTTCCATTGGAGTGCTGTATATGCTATTTTGCCTGTTCACTAATTGAAGGAGCTCTTCTTATTGAAAATTGCAATGAAAGTCAAATAAGTTTCAATTTATTTGGCATAGCAAATTGCCTACACATCAGATTCATATTGTGGATTTTTCAAAACCGATGCATTTGCTAGCCAAATAATGTAAAAAATTGCGATTTTATTGTCGTGAATTGCAATATCATTCAATATTTTCATTGCATTGTGCTATAGTTGTGATAAATTGCCGGAAGATGAAATCGCGATAAGATGGAGGATACTTAATCGCTCATATCGATCGTCAAAGTGCAAAACCACGTACCTTAATTGCGATTTTTTAAAATTTTCTGTTCCTATCTTTGTTTTTCGAAAAGAGACAAGTCAACTCTATGGCTTGCAATTAATTTATACAGAAAATATCCAGGTAATCGAAAATGAAAATTAACGAAGTTTTCAAGAAATTACATTGGATATTTTTCCAAAGAAAAAATACAGTATGACAGTAAGTCTGCATATCGTCGCAAACGGAAGTACGTGGTTTCGCACTTTGGCCATCGATGTGTTGATAATCCCAGCGATTTTAACGCCGATGAAATCAGTCAGGATGTCTACTAAAACAGGCTGACCGGAAATCAGTACTTACAGTACTTTTTCAGTACATTCCGAAGAAATTCAGTACCTTCTCAACCGAAAAATTCAATACTTTTTCAGTACCTACCATTGATAAAATCCGGCAAATTTCAAAACTTTGAAATTCCCGCTCAAATTGCGACAAAAATTACCAAAAAATGAAAAAATTCCGGACCTTCTTGCGGAATTCCGCACTTTTTCAGTACGTCCGGCCCGCCCTTAAAAAATCAGTACTACTTCCGTACTTTCCGGAAATTCCGGACTTGCAGTCACTCTATCCATACTTAATTTCAATATAGTATCGCGATTTTCCCGTTTAAAAATGCTACTTTGAATATTGGGTATTCGGAGTCAAACTTTGGCCGTCATCTATATGAAAATCATGCAATGACTCACCTTGCCAGTTAAGCCGAGAAGATGTTGTTAACGACGAGATGCGAGGGGTTGGTGATGTGGTGGTGAGGCTCCTACTGTGATTTACCTCTCTTGCAGCGGGATCTGCTGCTCTTGATGCACTTGATCCGGATTACATTGGTGACGAAGAGGTACGAACAGTTCTTGTACGAGATATAGAGGTTCGGGTAGGTCAAGCTGGAGCAAGCCGTGCTTCTGTCAAAAGAATCCCGTCTGCGACGCGTTTTTGCGCCGGAAAAGCGGCTCACGTTAAGTTTTTAATTTTCTTACGTTTTTCAATAACGCTAGTATACTGAAATCATGAAAGCCCGGGAGAACTTACTTCACGCATTATCACAGACCCACTGCTTTTTAAAACAGAATCTTTTACCTAAATCATGAACAGCCTCACCGTTTTTAAAATGAAGCTTAAGTTCGGGATTTTATATTACTCAGCTCGGGGAGAGGTAAAAGAAAATCGAAGCACTGAAATAACACAACAAAACAAAGAATATAGAAGCGTCTCTGCGTGTAATAAGAGTTTTATACATCCAGCCTTATCTACAACATCTTTTTCAGCCGTACCCATTTCCAAACAGGCCGTAAAATTTAATTTGAAATGGCGATTGCAGACGAGGTTTAGAGACAAGTGTATTATTCCACTGCCAACAATTTGATAAAACTTTTATGGGGGCAAAGGCTCGACTTTAGAAACATTACTGCAAATGCGCAACACTTTGTCATGTAAACAACCACCAACAGACTTGATAAGAATTGAGTTATGGTTAGGACAATTAAGTTTATTATATAATTGAATTATTATTAGCTCATGCAAAAACGTCCAAATTCAATTTTTCCCCCTCGATCAATTACTGCAAATGACACTTTTTCTCATTGCGGCGTCATGCATTTATCAGTTTCTAGAACCGAGCAAATGCTCGTCTCTTCGAGTCGTAGATAAATGTTTATTTTTTGAGGCTTCTGTTACAACTGGTGAGGCAACCATGTCCCAACAGGAGGTTAAACCATGGAGTTTTCGGTGGAATGTCGCCATGATTGCGAACGATGGGTTTTCTTGAGCGTCATAGCTCCATAAGTGGAAAGCAAAAACCTGCAAGCTGGAAAAACTATGGAAGAACACTATTGACTTGACTTATGCTTTTTGCCTCGACTGGAATCGTTACAAATGGTACAGAGTCCCTTCGGAGGCACAAGAGGTTGGCGGTGCAAGGTGGAAATGTAAAACCGAAGTGTCGTCTCCTGGAGCTCGAAAATGCTTCGCTCATACGCAAAAGCCTTATGCATATATCACCCGTCCTTCTAATTGCCGTAGAGATAAAAAATCATATGTAGAAAGACGCGGTCGACTGATCACACCAACGAGTGGATGAAGATTGCTCGTGGCTCAAAATTTAGGATTCATAGAGTGAGAGCAAAGACATGGGATTAAAAAAGATGGAAACAGCTCTATGAAAAATAGCGTTATAAATACGCAACGGGCTCCTTTGAATTTTCAGGCTCGTGCATTAGGTAAACCGAGAATGTGTTCTGCAGGTAAAGAAGGTTTTCCCATGAGTCGATTTAAATATACTCTCGATGGAAGAGGGGTTGTTAATTAAAAATGACCTACGACTGGCTCCGGGCGCATATTAGCGCCTACAAGAGTGCAGGAATACTTCACGCATTGCGCCTGACACTTTGCGGTCGCTGCGCTGGTCGGCGCGGAAAGCATTAGCGCCTACAAGACTGTAGGAATACTTCACGCATTGCGTGTTCACTACAGTGCGCGCTTCGATCATTGAAAATTCGTAATATCTCGGTGCCAGACCTACGTGTACGTACCATTTGTATGCTCTTGTTAAAAATATAAAAATGAGTGTGAGTGGGAACCTTCTAACGAACAAAAGCGGGTCCAAAATTTACCGTCCTGAAAGTGAACGGGCCCATAGAGTTGAAAAAGCGTCAAAAGGAACTAAATGACAATCAGTGTTACAATTCGTTTGCTTTTGCGCTGTTTGTCTTTGATTTATTAAAGATTATGAATTTTGATTGCGTCCTTTCTAAAGATAAAATAAGAAAATAAAAAAGAAGAACATAAAAAAATATATAGACATTAATAAAAGAACAGGCAGTTTCTACAAAAAAGAGTTGAAGAGCGCACTGATACCTAACGAGGTCTATAACGTCGCAATCGGAGAAATGGCTTTTTCGGCTTTAACTATGGAGGTGCAATTTTATAAAATCATTTTTCTCGACCAACCTATGTTTAAAAATATCAGAGAGGAAAAATTTTACCCGTCCAGAACCTCCGTTTAACCCATTTAACGCGCATGCAAGCTTTCAATTTGAAGCTTGTCGGGATGAATCGTACCACATTTAACAATAAGGAACTACAATTTTCGGCTCATTCATTAAAACACCTACCTACGTATGGGAAGGAATGGCATATACGTCCTTTCCCAAGAGAGCCTGAAATTTCTGATTGCAAAATCGCTGTCTTTCGGACGAAGGAACGTAACTACATTCCAAGGTTGTCAAATTGACTGAGACAATAATTGTTTTACTTCACAAAAATGTGCCAATGCGATTCTATGCCAAATTTGTCCTATTTTTGCATGGAGTCCGAGGAATAATAAGTGAAATTTTCAGTCAGAAATGCCAAGATTCTCCTCGTTAAAATGCAATTTTTAAGGGGAAATTTGGCAACATTGAAGTGTAGTTACGTTCTTTCGTGCGGGAAAAGATGAAATATGGTGCATCGGTGTTCCGATGGCAAATATGGTGTTCCGGCCTAACGCCTTAGAAACGACTAAAATTCAAGTCAAATAGGTGCAGCCTTTTCAAAAGACCACACGATGTTCATTTGGACTGAGTTAAGCAGAAAGGAACCAACCCACATTTTGGAAAAAATCGAGTTATGAGTGGTTTTGAACTCAACCACTGCTCTACTATCTGTCTCCAAAAATTGAAAGTTTTTGTTGGAGCAAATTTTGCAGAAATTGAACTTGAAGTTTATCTTTTACATTGAGTCTTATGCAGGAGCCAAACTTTAAACCTCTTTTTCTCGGTTCGATCCCGATGTGGCTTGGTTCCTTTCTGTTTAACTCCGTCCATTTAGTCGTGATGAAATCATTGGTGTCAAAATCGGTGCCCCCTCTCTTGATGTATCACCTCGGAACCCACAACGTAGAATCCGCACCGCCACTCTACTCTCCAAAGCAGTGGCGTGGCGTGGATTGCGATGTATCGATTGTTATGCCATTTAAACCTATGGTAAATAATCGATTATTAAGGTGTTCGGCGCGAACATCCTGTCTATCGATCCTTTTCCATAGGTTTAAATGGCATAACAATCGATATATCGCAATTCACGCCACGCCACTGCTCCAAAGCAAAAACACCGTAACTCCATTCTAAACGTTCCCCGACAAAACGTTTTACCACGAGAAAACTAACGCGTATACGTACACATCCTTTATTTTTTTAGGGTGATTGTGACTTACCATTGGAAATTCATATCGGAAAAATGATGCATGATAGTGAGCAGGTTTTTGTGTGTTAGAGCAGTATGTCGACGGTGAAACTACCGAACCACGTATCTCGTTTGCGGTGTTTAAAAATCTACGCTCGCATTTTATTTTTTTGAAGTAGACCAAATCAATATCATTGCTTGAAATTTTCACAGAATTTTCTCCGCACAAAGAGGAAAAATCACAGAAATTTTCAAGACTGGACGTTAAGTAGTTTTTCATTTAAAAAATAAAGTATGACTGGAAGTCTGCGACGTCGCAAACCGAGATACGTGGTTTGGTAGTTTCACCGTCGATGTGTGGAAGATAAATGCAATATCCGAAGCGGAGTTACAGCGCTTTTGCTATGGACGGTAGCGTTAGCAGGAAAAGGTGCTATATTGCCGTGCGAAGGAATAACGCCATATGAGCATTCGAGAATTGTCAAACTTCCTTCGATAAAATGTTCATGTTTAAGGAAAGTCATGACTCCTCTTTCTTGAAATTCACCAGAACTTCAGGTGAAATTGCGAACAAAACTATGTGAAAAATTAGATGAAAAAAACTCTTAAATTTACCCGGAAATTCGTTTTTTAGCTAAGGAAATTTGTCAACGCCTGAAGGTTTATACGGAGTTTTTTCCTTAGCTCGGCGCTATGAAGTCTTGATTGGACGGAAACCTTGACTGCCTCGCGCTCTTGACAATCAGTCTGACTCTCGATCATAATTATGTTAGTTTGGTTCAAACCTCCGCTCTGTTGCCTTTAGCAGTTGTGGATGCGTATCATAAGTGCCGTGACTAAACCGGGCGCACTTGCATTTAAATTTTAGTGGGAACCAACGCCTTCAAGAGGTGATATGCAAAGCGTGGATCAATTGCGTCATCTACTGATCCCTCTCATTCGTTGGTCATTCCTTTCGAGGGGACCTGAGATTGTCGATAGTGAACTGGACCGGATCCATTCGAGATGAGGGATAATCATATTTTTGTATGTGTTTGTGTGAATCGAATTTACGCGTGATTTTTACTTACGTGCCAAGTGAGTGATATTCTTTGATCAGCTGTTTCGCTATTTGTTTGTTGATAGTGATATCTTGTGTGGTGGGTATACGAGATATGTGTGAATATTACTGTTTTGTTTGAACACGGAGAAAAATACGACGGCTAAAGTGCGAAACCACGTATCTCCGTTTGCAACGTTGCATACTTCCTGTCATATTTCATTTTTTCCTAGGAAAACTAGTTACTGTAATTCCTTGAAATGTGCCTTGATCTCTCTCCTGAGTCAGCAGAGTGTCCTGTAAAAATTTCAAACTATAGAGTTGGCTTGCTTCTCTTCAAAAAAATACAATACGAGCGGAAATTGTGAAACAGAACTATTAAGATATGTGGTTTCGCTGTTTGGCCATCGAAAAGTTATTTTGCTTCACTGTATGCCATATAAGTATTTTATGGCATAGAGACGGACCGAGTTTTTTTTTTTTTTTTTTTTTTTNTTTTTTTTTTTTTTTTTTTTTTTTTTTTTTTTTTTTTTTTTTTTTTTTTTTTAAGACAAGGGCACAAATTATTGTAGATTTCCCGTTTATTTTTTATAAAAAATAAAATTTGCATCTCAAATTTTTAAATGTAAGAAACTGCAGATGCTTTGTTAGTTTAGGTATATTGGACCAGGACAGTCAAATTTACCGGAGAAATCATTATTCTTTTAAAATTTATAATATCTTAGTACCCCTCTTCTGAGTGCAAAAAGAACCAAATCAGTGCAGAGAGGAAATAGGTTCAAGGTATTAGTCAGATCGATCTGTGGAAGGGATTTTACTACATAGAGATGTTTATGGAATCCTTTCAAACATATGAATAGGAGGTTCTTTGTAAAAAAAAAAAAAAAAAAAAAAAAAAAAAAAAAAAAAAAAAAAAAAANAAAAAAAAAAAAAAAAAAAAAAAAAAAAAAAAAAAAAAAAAAAAAAAAAAGATTCCTGCCTGATAAACTGTATCCAAGCGTCGCTCAGCGCTGTGAGAATGACCAAGGACACAAACAAGCTGAAATAATGAGGCAAGATTACCATCCACGAAACATGCTGAAGCAGCGAGTCTGTGGATCGTACCATTAGTATTTTATCCTTAAACAGATCCTTATTTCTTTAGGATGCCTTGTATAGTTCACAAGTTGATTAAGGAAGGTCTTGAGGACCGTAGGTAATATAGCATCATAGAAAGAAGAATCATAATAAATTTCAAGTAAAATTCAAGAGTGTAACTTGGGAAATAGGCCCCTGCAAGGAAGTATAATGACTTGCCATTGCAAAAAATCCGGAGGAAAAAATTCTATGATTTTGACAAACTTTAAGGTAGGCACGAACCTACCTTAAAATTTACAAATCCAGCAAAAATTTTTCCTCGGTATTCTTAATTTTTTGTGGCGGCAAATCCTCGTAATCTCTTGGAAAGGTCTATTTTCAAAGTTATACTGTTGAATTTTGTTCAAGATTGTTCAGATTTTCTTTTTAATGTTGATATGTTACGGAGCTCATTGAACGCTCCTTTAATCACCATGTGAGCCAAATAGGACATTTTAAGGGAAGGAGCTGTCCAAAAACGACCATGAATAAGAACCTTTGCCTTAGTAGGTAAATTTTCTTTTTTCTCTGTGAAGAATTTATAGCCGAAAAGCGATAATTTACCTACTGCAAATTATGAACTCAAATATGTTAAAAGGTCCGGTTCACGAGCATGTCATATAGTATTATTCTAATAGAGGCAGTCTCAAAGTAGAAATATCGATACTGTGAAAGTAAATACTTGCTGCCTCCATCTGAATCTTGTTGGGGAGGAACTTTGCATTCATCGGAGGAGAGTAGGAGGGACAAGATCATAATACCTCGAAAGACCCTGTAAAATTCAGCAGCATTAATCGAGCCCCCCCCCCCCCCCCCCCCNGACACTCTTGAATGATGCTCACTCCACAGTCGGCACCTTTTTTTCGTAAGTGCTCACCCACTCACAAATGTAAAGAAGAGACCCTAGTTACAGGCTCAATGAATTGTTTTCAAGGTTCATTCAATTTATCACTTCACTCACTTGACTTAATCAGCTCACTTCAAATTTCTAAAAAAACTTTTTTTTCTCTTTTTTCTCCTAACTTTTGTGTATTAGAAGTGCGTCTTAGGATTCCTGACATATTTCAGATGAGAACGCACAAGGAATCGGAGAAAAGAGGAAAAAATCAAGGAAAAGAGAGATATAAAGATATACCGATGTTGCAAACCCATGTATCTACATTGCGGTGTTTCAAAAATCTCTCTCTTTTTTTATTTTTTCGAGGAGAAACCACCCAACTTTTTAGCTTGAAAATTACACAGAATATTCTGCTAACACAAAAAAATAAACAAGACAATTTTAAGAAATTACATTAAATAGTTTTCCACAGAAAAAATGAAGTATGACAGGAAGTCTGCAACGTCGCAAACGGAGACACGTGGTTTCGCACTTTTGTCGTCGATACGGGACAAGTAGAGAAGGAGGAAGAGGAGAAATGGGAATTTCCTTATCTGCCTCTTATTATTTCTCTTTATGTTCCTCTCCTTATTTTTACTTTCCTACTTTCTCATCCCGTTTTTCTCCCTTTCTCTTCTCCATGTTTTCAATTGAAATACAAATTCTTGGGTCTGAACTACGCATTTATCGTCATCGATCTTTTATTGAACGTAGTTTTTCTAAATTAGAATTTATCTTTTCCAGTCAAGTGGGAAGCCGTTTGACAGCTCGCGCTTTTATGACTTAGGTACACAAGTCGTAGTTGGTTAAACACCACGCTGACTGTGACTGTGATCGGGCATCATGTTATCCCTGGTCAACTTGGAAGTGGCGGGGGTGTTCTTGGTCGTTAGCGTTTTGGCCTACCTCGTTTACAATTTGAAACGGAAGTACGAGTTTTGGAAGGACCGCAATGTCCCTCAGGTCGGATTGTCCAAGGACTTTTTCCTAAACCTTCTCAAGCATAGGCTGTGCAACTTGCAGGATATCTACGACGAGTTCGCTGGGATACCCTATGGCGGCTACTACCAAGGCGGGACGCCTTATTTGATGATTAAGGTCAGTCAAGAATTCTCTCTCGACCCAAGTTAAATATAAATGAATTCATTTGGAACCCCTGGTAAAAATTGGCAATAGAATGTGTGTTCCAAAATACTATAAACCTATGGCCGGCTGTACAATTTCTCATAGCCTTTTATAGCCGATGGTGATTAAGCAATAGCTAGACGATAAATTTTATGCTAAACGTTACTAAATACGGATACTACCGCTCTCGTTTTGTGCTGTAGTATCTTGATTTATTTTGCGAGGAAAGCTCCTTACTTTTGAAGGATGCCTGTCATTCTTAATATGTTGAAGCGCCTTATATTTCTTATGATACTATGCAATACCTCTGGTGTGAAATAGTTGCTTCAGACGCCGTGGAACGCTGCGGCGCGGCTGGCGGGCAGAGAGCACAAAACGCGCATTGGCGCCTACAAACCTAACAGGGATACTTCACGCATTGCGCAATGCGTGAAGTATCCCTGTTAGGTTTGTAGGCGCCAATGCGTCGCTGCTCCGCTTTGTGTTAGGCTCTGATATTTAATCTCGCGGAGTCAGCGTTTTTCAACTCATGATTTTGAAATGTTTGCACACTCTGTATGGACCATCTCATTTTAATTGATGAAAAAAAAAATGTTTTAAAGGAAAAATATAATGTGTTTTTTGTAAATATTAAGGTAGTTCTGTATCAAACTTAATGATTTCCAAAGCACACGAATTTCTACACAATTTCTTATAGCCTTTTAGGTATAGCTAATGGCGATGAAGTGTAAAACTCGGCGATAGAACTATATCCCGACCAGTGGCGTAACGGGCGCCCCCCCAGACCCTGCTATGCAGGGGGGCCCTCGGCCGCCGGAATTTTTTTTTTCTCTCTCTCTTTGATGCTTAGCTTTGGTATCAAACTTTGGGCCTTTACTTACCGAGATGGGGCTTCTTCCTCTGATTTTTATTGTTAGCTCAGGGTTTTTCATACTTCTTTTGGAATGTTCCTAACTTTTGTTTTGCTGGAGGGCCCCTGCCTTCCAATGTCCACTCAGTGATTAGTAAAAATTTTCTCTTTTTTGTCACTTTTCGTAGGTATTTCGGGCTTTGGGTGGCCCATGAATCTGAAGGGCCCACAAGGCCCTTGGGGGCCCTTTGATTCTTGGGCCTGCATGGGCCCCTCTGTAGATCCTTGGGCCTGGGCTGAGCTCCCGCCACCCTTTAGATCCTTGATCCTTTAGGGGCCCCATTTAATCGGGTACGGGATCCGGGACGGTGAGGGGTGAGCATTCCAAGTCCAAGTCCGTGATTTGAAATGTCTCGGGCCAAAAAATGAGAAGGGGTGAGGGAAGTAGAGGGGCGGGAGGGGGGATGATTTTGGAATTTTATCGACATGAGGGGCCCTAGAAAAAATTTTGCAGGGGGGCCCAGCGGAAGTCCGTTACGCCACTGATCCCGACTGTATACTTTTTTATAGCTTCGTATAGCCCAGCTGTATGATTTACTCCGCTTTCTACAGCCAGCTATATGATTTTCAATAGCCTTCTTTAGTCAGCTATAAGAACTCCTATGGTATTTTGAAACGCAGCTCGTATCCCCAATTTTTACCAGGGACACACTTTTAAATTACGCATTGTGTAATATTCACTCATCCACGGATGATCTTTTTAAAATTTGATTTATTTACACGGAAAAAAAACCTCGCGTGTGGGACGCGAAGTTTAGGTCATATGAATCTCTGAAGTTTTCAGATTGAGCATCTGAACACTTAAGGTCTAGCTGTCGGGGTTTGGATCACATATCTGAAACTTCAGTTCTTACACCTGTCAGGTGTGTGAACCGAAGTTTTTCGGATGTGAAAACCGAAGTACTTCCGATGCAAGAACTGAAGTTTCAGATGTGTGAACCAAACCTCAGCAGCTTGACCTTAAGAGTTCGGATGCTCAATCCGAAAACATCAGAGATCCATATGACCTAAACTTTGGGTCCCACGCACGAAGTTTTTTTCTCCGTGTACCTACACTACAAGCCCCGAGACCTTCCAATCTATGTTTTATTTATTTATCTATACTACAAGCCCCGAGACCTCCCTTTGCATTGTTTCTCAGTTAAAAATTGAAAACACATTTTTCATTAGGACTGCACAAGATTTGTTAAATTTACTGGGATTCATTTGCACAAAATTAATTACTTCCTTGGATGCGTTTCTGGGGCTCTGCCCTCATCTTCAGCGCTTGCCCGTGACTTCCCGTCTTCAACATTATTTTACATTTACTGGGAATATTTTTCACCCATTCAGACGTACTCACAGAATATTGCATAAGGAAATATTAGTTACCTTTTACAAAAGTAACACTCAAAAAAAGGTATGCCTCTGAGACCGATAATTTCTAACCAAAGTGACTTACCTTCTACAGTATGGCTTTCTGAGCCATACCTCATTGGTTGTGAACCTATAAGCATGGCTCCACGAACTATATTTGATGGCTCCATAACTCGGCCGGTAAGTCACTCTTCCCATAATTGTTTTTTGAGTGAATAAAAAATCAAACGTGAGCAGCAATTTCAAACGTTGCAATCCGCGGATATGCGCATTTTGCAATTTAAGCCAACCGCTCCTTATTGAAAAATAGACTTGATTTTCCATTCGAGAACTTCTATTTTTTGCTCATTCATAAGAACATATATTTATGTGCATAAAAACCTCTATCTACATCAGATGAATCAAAGTGGGACAGGAGGAGGGAGAATAGGAAGCAGAAATAAAAGAAGAAAGGTAAAAATTGAAGGAGAACGAAAAAAAGAAAAGGAAAAGAGGTTAAAGAAAGAATAGGGAGAAGGACAGAATAAAAGAGAGAGAAATAAAGAGAGGGGAAAATACAAAAATAAAGATGGAGAAGAGGAGAATATAAAAGAGAAAGAAGTAGAAAAGGAAAAATGAGGAGGGAAAACAACAGGAGAAAGAAGGAAAGGAAAAAGAGGACAGCAAAAATATAAAAAATAAGAAAAAACGAGGATGAAGAAGAATAAACAAGGAGAAGAAGGAAGAGGAGGAAGAGAAGAAGAAGACTTTTCGATCAAGACTGAGTAGTAAGTGAGCCCTAATAGTTAGTTCCCAACATTGGAAAATGTAGTCTCTATAGTCCATGTCACGTGAAAAATCCGAAGAAAGGTCACCTAATTCGAAAATTTCAACAGTTGTTTACAGATTTTTAAACGCCAGTGTATGAGTCACTGCGCTAGGAAAAGATGAAAAATTTAAAAAAAATTGACGATGTCTAGGATCCGGAGCTCATCCGGCGCATTATGATCAAGGACTTCTCTCACTTCACCGACCACGGCATGCTCATGGTGATGAACGACCCCATCCAAAGGGATAACCTGTTCAATCTGACGGGTCAGCGGTGGAAAAGCATCCGCTCCAAGATATCGCCCATCTTCACCTCCGGCAAACTCAGGCGCATGACCATCCTCATGAATGAGTGTACCAAACTTCTGGACAAGTATTTGGAGCGAACTACGGGTGAGCAGAAACACGATTTGGGGGGGGGGATTATCATAAGCCTTCTGATCTCCTAAATTTTAACTTTTTGAGCTGATGGAGTCCTAAGCATCCCCCATATTGGGTAGAGTCCCTTTATACCCAGAGTTAAGACAACTCGATTATCAGCTGACTGGCAGCCGTCCTTGGCTGGCCATGGAGGCCGAAACGAGTGCATCCAAACGAACGATATTGAGGGATAAGGATCAGGAATCCTGCGATGTCTGTCACACAAAAACAACAACATCAACAAATTGATCAATTAAAAAGAAAATGAGATTGGTTTGTGAATAATTTCTTAATCTATTTTCATTTTGGACCGATGGAAATAACAATTTACTCTTGATAAACCACAATCAGGTAATATTTTCATTATTCTTGTTCACATTCGAGGTACCGCCATCTTGGTGCACTCGTTTCGGCCTCCATGAGCGAGAACCAATCAGAATTGGATTTTTTTTTTATGCCGCAATCAGACGCTGAATTTAGCACCTGAATGTGGAAGTCAACAGTCATCGCCCAACGGCTGAAATTTAGCAGATTCGAGTTATTTTCATCCAGATGTGTATCAAATCTACTCGAATAGTTCAGACAAATTCAAAATTGGTCCGATGGTTGCTGAGAATCGTTGCTGAATTTTGCGCGTCACGCGCAAAATTCAGGCATCGAGCCGATGACTTCCACATTCAAGCCACATTCAGCTCCCACATTCAGCGTGTGATTGCGGTGTATGGCCACTTTCAGCCCAACCAAAAGTGAGTTGTCTTAACTCTGGGTATAAAGGGACTCTAATATTGGGCTATATTTTAGTACCCCTCAAAGCCCCCCTGAAGAGGTACCCTTCTGTCCCCCACAAAAATTGTTTCCTTCTGCCCGTGAATTTATAACGGGAATCTACTTACGAACGCGCCTCATCTATTAATGTGATGACGTGAGATTGCGTTTCACACAGATGAGCAGTTCGGAGCTATCAAGGTCAATAGATGAGACGAGTAAATAATGATCACTTTGTGGCGTGGATCCGTCGAGGGTCCAGACTTACTATGCATAGAGGAAAATACAAACGTAAACACTTCAGGTTCCAGGTACAGAATAGACGCGTGCACTTCCATGCATAGGTTCTATTTTTGTAATGTCCCTGACGCTCTCCAGAATACCTCTCTCAGATGCACCAGTGGAGAATTTGCATGCAACTTTTTTATTTTTTCATCTGAAAGTGCTTAAAGAGCTGATTTGACAGTATTTTTTATAATTTTTTTGTGATATGGGAAATAGTAAAAAAATAGAGTTAAACACGAGAAAATGCACCGCCTAGTGACGTCATCTGGCGGTATTTCCGATTTAAACACACGTATTTTAGCAGATTCGACAATTTTGCCATACATTCTCCAATAATTGTTCAAATCATGAATGAAGGGTATCCTCGTGTTCAGTTTACGCAGTAGTTTCCACCTAAACACGAAATTAATCAAATTCCAGACACCTGTAAATTCTCTATTCTTTTTATGAAATTTTGAGGGAAGCACAGTGGTCTTAAAGCACAAAAGAAAAAAAAATTGCGACAAAAATGTACACAAAAACGATTTGCATTGGGTGACTCCATGGTACATACAGAATGAAAAATGTTGGAATATACGTGGTTTCATGTCCGGAGAGAGGAAACCAATGTTTGAAATTCCGAATGTTTGAAAAAAATGAATGACAGGCCAATACTAAAATCTCTGGTTCAGTGTCAAAAAGACCATAAAATACAACTCTGTTTTAGTGAAATATTAATTTAAAAGCTAAAACGTGCATATTACGGTTGTTTCCAATTCGCCTTCAGTTGCCTCCTCAGCAATTGTTGTTGCAAATAAGTTGCACTGATTTTAGCTCATTACATACTTGACTCTCTGAAAACGTTTTATGTGCACGAGCAATGCGCCTTCAGCTGAGTCTAGCTGATGTGACTTGGTTCCCTCACGCTTAACGCGGTCCACTTGGGTCTTTTGCACACTAAGGAAATAATTTTTTTGTATTTACAGGGAAGTCGGATGAAATAGAGGTGCGTGAATTATTCCAGAAGTTCGCCGTCGACACGATCGGGATTTGCGCTTTCGGCATTAACTGTAATGCCATCGAGGACAAGGATTCATACTTCAACCGGATCGTCCGAAAGCTGAGCGCGCCCGGCACGTTTTTCAGGGGCCTCTGCATGTTACTGCTCAACGCCGTGAGCCCCAAAATCCTGGCGACTTTCAAACTGAAAATCATGGACCCTGACATTGAAAATTTTTTCTACTCCTTGGTCAGCAGCACGATTCAAAATCGAGAGGAGGAAAAGGTCAAAAGAGATGACTTCATGCAGCTTCTCATAAACGTCCGGGCTGAGGAACAGAAAATGCTCCAAGAGGAGAAAGACGGTTCAGGTAGGCACGTACTCATAAATCCTCGCTCCTCTTGCATACGAGCGTATCTCATTGTCAGAGGTGTGGCGTGAATAATCGATTATCGATATCTCCCCCATTCGAATCCGTGGTAAATAATCGTTTATTAAGATGTTCGCTGCGAAAACCCTACAAATCGATCCTTTTCCATGGGTTTATATGATAGATCAATCGATGCATCGCAAATCACGCCACGCCACTTCAATTTCCATATGAGCCCCGGAAAACATGGAGTCGTATGGGGCAGCAGGGCTCACGTGGATTTACATGGGATGGGATGGATTTACGTGGATTTCCAAGAAAAAATCGGATAAAAAAAAAAAAAAAAAAAAAAAAAAAAAAAAAAAAAAAAAAAAAAAAATACCAACGATAAAAGGCGACAAAATTTCTCATTTCCTGAGTGTAGTAATTTCTAATTTTGTCGTCTTTTGGTGGTACAAGAAATAGTTAGACCATTAGTCGAGTTGAGAGAGAAATCAAACACGCAATTTGGCCTGGAACGGTGCGACATAGAGAACAATGATGACGAGGACTTGAGATGAAAAGGAGAAGCCCTCGGCGCGGCGGTCGGCATGTAACACATATTAGCGCATACATAACTGTATGAATACTTCACGCGTTGCGTCAAACATACTGCGGTCAGCCGCGGTCGACGTGAAACGCATAGCGCCTGCAAGACTGCATGAATACTTCACGCATTGCGTCAAGCACAGTGCGGTCAGCAGCGGTCGGCGTGAAATGCATAGCGCCTACAAGACTGCATGAATACTTCACGCATTGCGCTAAACACAGTGCGGTCAGTGGCTAGCCGTGACGGACGCGTGAAGAGCGCCCAGAACGGCTAGTATCATCATGAGCATCATTATAGTATAATCTTTTTCTTTGCTTTTCGATTGTTTTCAGAGCCTCTTTTCGACGATGATGTATGTATGGCGAATGCTTTTATCTTTTTTGGTGCGGGCTTCGATCCCGTTTCGACAACTCTAAGTCATTGCTTGTACGACTTGGCCCTAAACCCGGAAGTGATGGAGAAACTTTACTTGGAAGTCAAACGAGTCCGAGATGCCCATGACGGAAAAATTGATTATGATATTTTAAAAGAAATGGAATACTTGCACTGCGTCATTTCAGGTAATTCGATTAGTGAAAAAGTTCATTCGTCTGTTATTTTCTAGATTTAAATTCTAATAGGTACCATTCATAGGCTAATACTAGGTACTTACTAGCTACTTAATCACGATGCCTCTCAACCTATTATCAAACTTTTGTGATTCGTCCATTAATTTTAATGCCGTCGGTTTTTGCTCAGACATGATGGTGGATCAACGACCTAGAAACTGTAGATAGGGTGATCCGATGCTACACCAACAGTGTAATTTGTAACGAACAAGGAGCAACAATTAGGTTAGGACGAGGATAGTCGGTTTCCGTGGTCTCGTATGGGACAGTTGCTGGTAATTTCACCCTCGGCATGAATATAAAACACAGATTAAATATGGTAGGTATTCAAACGATACGTATCTGATACTTGGTATCTAAGGATGATTTTCTTCATGCCAATTTTGTTGGTGCAGTCAGGTGGAGCAAACACTAATATAAGACGTATCAACGGATGTAGGTCCGTCGGCTTTGTTATCGAAAAATTGTCATTCTATCGAGTGATGATCGATCTTCACTCTATGAATTCATCAATACATCGTGTGCCTATCGATGAATCTATACAGATCGAGGATCGCATTTCCAAAGTTGGACTTGAAAATTTTTCGTCTCTAATTCACATACCTATGAACTTAAACATTTTTTGTTTAATCACAACTGTTTTCCCCTTAGATCAAATAGATGTTCGTTTTTTTACGAAATATTCCCTGGAAAAAATTGGCAACACGAGCTCAGTTTCAAAATACCATAGGAATTTTTATAGCCGACTATAAAAGGCGATAGAAAATCATAAAGCTGCCTGTAGAAAGCGAAGAAAATCATACAGCCGGCTGTACGAAGCTATTAAAAATTATGCAGCCACGCTATAGTTCCTATCGCCGGGCTATGCAGTTTATCGCCTGGCTATATGAAATTGTATGGCCGGTCATAGAGGCAATAGGAGATCTTACAGCCGGCTGTAGATCTACACAGTATTATAGCACACAGATTCTACTGCCAATTCTTAACAGGTTTTTTTGGACTTTTCCCTTTTTTCTGGCTGTTCTTTTTTCTACTTCCTAGTCCTCCCTTGCTTTCTCTCAATTTTGACACCAGTTTTCTCCCCTCCCATTCCCTTTTGTTATTCCTTTTCCTCCAATTCACTTCCTCTCTCTCATTCCCTTTAACTTTCTTTTTCTTCCTGTTCTTAATTTTTCTCCTTTTGTTCTTTTATCGTGCCATCGCATCTTGAATGGCATTAGTGTGCCCATAGAATGCGCAGTTATAAAAATCTTACTTCTCTCTACCTCCGTCTTTTTCCAGAGACTTTGCGACTACATCCTCCAGCTGGTTGGCTAGAGCGGATATGTACGAAAGCCTATCAAATCCCAGATTCATCATTAACTCTTGCCGAAAATTCGCACATTTCGATTCCAGTCGCGTGTCTCCACAGAGATGCCCGGTTCTTTCCAGATCCTGAAAAATTTGATCCAGACCGATTCAGCGTAAACAATAAAAACAACATCGTCCCAGGCTCTTATATACCGTTCGGTGATGGACCAAGATTGTGCATAGGTAATACATCTGGATCGATGCTTGCAAACAGTATCATTAAGTTAGGATTAACAGAAAAAAGTAGAAAATTGCATTCCTCCAAGACTCAATGTTAAGAAAAAGTTTACCTAACGGCCATTTTCAAGTTTCAAAATATTTTTCCTCGACATCGGCTTTATAATAAAAGAAAATTTACGTGTAGTTGAACTCAAAGCTTCTCCTAACCAGTGTTCGAAACTCACATGCGCCAACGCGCCTAAGAAATTCGTCATGGCGCCTAAAAAAAGAAGGCTCTGTGCCAACGTGGCCCCTAAAAATTGCCCCTCCCCCTCCAAAAAAAGTCTAATTTCTCTGTTTCGTGATTTTTTGAAATTTCCCCCAAGTTACAATTACTAGTTCTGCAACTGAAACATCTTGCGTCTAAATTTTCACTAAATGCGCCGTGGTATTTAGGCAGAAAGTCAAATTGGCCCCTAAAAAATCTTCAATGGCCCCTAAAAATCGAGCTTGATGCGCCACATGGCTCCTGAAATTCAAAGATGAGTTCCGAACACGGCTCCTAACTGACATCCCCCCCCTCCCCCGGTGCAACTCGATGCGTTTCTGTTATATCTGAATGAAAAAAAAAAAAAAAAAAAAAAAAAAAAAAAAACTTGCTCTCCTGAAAAATTGTGTATTCCGAGATGCGCAATTTTTACAGTCCCACTGTCAGTATGCTCTCTGATCAATGGGCCAGTTGCGCTGGTACCTAACAGAATCGTGTTTTGTTGCTTAATTCTTGTAGATTAGCTGAAAATAAGATCAGTCCAAACAGCAACTTTCTCAATTGAATTATTTTTACTAAATCTGCAAGAATAAAGCACCAATACACGGTTCTCTGACCAGCGCAACTGACCCATTAATTATGGATAAGTTTTGCTCGATGCGTATGCAGTTTTACCTTATTTTCCTTGCATTTTCGTACAGCTAAAATATATATTTTTTGTTTTGTAGCCGAGAGATTCGCTCTGATGGAAATGAAGGCGGCTATGGCACTCATCGTTAGCAAATACACAGTTCACCCGTGCGCAAGAACCCAAATTCCTCTGAAATTAAACCCTTTATCTTTCTCGAATACGCCGAAAGCAATTTATTTGAAAATCTGCCGACGACAATAAAAGCTACTAATAACGGAAAACATCTGAGATTAATATTTATTTATTTATTTTTAATATCACTTTATTTACCTTCGAGGTACAAGAGATGAGAATAGAGAGTAGTTCGGCTGATAAAAACTTTGCGAAATATTTAAAAAAAGTTAACTTTTGATGGATTTCAATTTTTCTGACCTGAACTGGTAGCATTCAGATCGTCAATAAGGAGCGAAAGCACGTACATCCATCTGCGACGTTGTAGACATCCTGTAATACTTTCTGTTTTATCTAAAGAACAAGCTAACGTAGTTTTTTTTTTTTTTAAAAAAAAAAAAAAAAAAAAAAAAAAATTCTTGGTTATTCTTCTCGGTCAGCAACAAAAGCTGTAAAAATTTTAAGCTACAAAGTTGTTTCTCTTCGAAAAAATAAAAAAGGAGCGGTAATTTTGAAGCACAGTAATGGAGATACGTTGTTTCACTTTCAGGCTACCAACAGGCCAGAGGAAAAATAAGACATACAGAGATTAGAAGCTATGAATGTCTCTAAAAACGTGCTGAATGTCTCTGATAAAATTAACCAACTAACAATCTGAACTAAGTTCAGTTTTTCGATGATTGTATGTAAGGGCCAGGTCAAATTCAGGCCAAGTCCATCCACAGACGTATGTCCATTACCTACCTAGGTCTATCACCTCTCGTTATGAACTTTATCCTGTAGAACATTTGGATTGCGTTAAAAAGAAGGAACCAAGCCACATCAGCTATTGTCAAATTTAATAGAGCAATTTAATTTTTGACAAGAGAACGGTTTTGCGGATTATTTTGACATTTTTGAGTAATTTGCTTCGTACTACTCAGAAAATTCACTGAAATTTGCAGAAAAATCTGCACAACCGTATTTAGGTAAAAAATTAAATTGCCCAATTCAATTTGGCAATAGCTGATGTGGCTTGGTTTGTTCCTTCTGTTAAGCGCGGTCCATTTGAAAAGCACTCTGGGTACCTGCGTGTTACATTTTCACCGGAGGTTTTCGATAATTCTTATTTAATCGAAGGAAATTTGGCAACACTCGAAAGTTCTCACGACATTTTCCGCAGCACTTCAGTATTGATATCCGAGCGTAAATGATATCGGTAATAGCGCCTCGATGCAACTATTCGTGCTTTACGGACATGCGCGTTGCATGCTAAAAATTGAAGGCGCTCCGGTCATCCTAGCACAGGAGGCAGTGCTCGCAGGGACACGCTATATCACTACTCGGTGTGGTAGTGGGATTTATAATCCTGATTTTTGAAAATGATCGGAAAATCCTTTCCTGTCGTTTTTCCTTAGTTTTTACCACCGAATTGCATCTTGATACTTATTCGTACCGGCGCGCTGTGGTTCCGAAGCCAGATTTGAGATTTTGTCAGATAAATGTTAAAACCGCGCAAAATTCATTTTTAAAGGTTCTCTGGATTGCTGAACTTAGCAATTACCGATAAACTCCTAAAAAAAAAAAAAAATCACTCTTTTGAAATTATAGTGCTCCGGATCTCACAGCTCAGGAGCGTTACTTCCGAGAGTCACACTGAAAAACAAACTGCACTGCTGGGAGCCGCAATTACGGGCTATATAGACATACCGTCCGTTCCGGGCTCAAAGGCCGAAAATTCCGGCTGCTGGAGGC